CTCCTGCCTACCTATTGGCCATTCAGCTTTTTATTACACTAATCACAGCAAATATAGCTCCGCACAGCGTACAAATGCCTCACAAATGTCACTGCGGTGCTGGTGGTCTCCTACATGACTAGAAGAGAGGGGTTTGAACACATGCACAAAGTTAGAAAATTCAGAATAATTCTGATAAGCTTCATAAGATTTTTGCCATAAAACTGAATAGAGCATCAGTTACCAGACATATTAAAATGCCAATTTTATGACTTGGAGAGTATTGGAGAGAGATTTTGAAATACTGGGCACTATAATTCCTTCATTTGCAAATGAATAAGTTAGTTCAAGAGAAAGCGTCTGGGGTTTCCTTATGCTTTGGATGGTAGAGTTTTAATGGTGTAGTAGGTATGTTTCAGAATTAAGTGATAGGGAAGATATAATGTAATATAATTCTGTGATGAATATTTTAAGCATCATTTTATTGCTTCTGAAACAATTCTTCAGGGGGTATCCGATCAAATGTCCACAGATACCACCTCCACATTTCCTTTGTTGCAGAGATCTGTGGGTGGAGAAGAGAAGGAGGGAGGAAGGGCCACCAGCAGCCTTGGGAGATGCCAGAGATGGCAACTGTCCAGGTTCACATGGTAAATTTTTCCTTCTGAAGTCTGTAACTTAAATATAGCAGATTTTTATTTTAAACCAAATCTCCGTGTGAATGAAAATATCACCAGTGGTAGTTAGGGATAAGAGTGGTAAAATGGGATTTTCATTCCTTGTAGCCCAAGGTCTGAACCTGTCCTTCTCACTGATGAACCAGGTGAGGTCTAGCATGTTCTCACTGTTGATTAGTTAGGTGCCTTATTACCTTAGAAGTCATTTAAAGACATTATCTTTAAAGGGATTTCTTTTCATGATTATAATGATAATATTCATCATAGAGAAGTGACAATAAAATAAATAAATAAACAAGTCATTCTTTCCAAAATGTAGGCTCTTAACATTTTGTGGCACATCTTTTTGTTTCTTCCTCTTTCTGGGATTATGCCTAATTGGAATGGATCTCATTCAAGATGAATGTCTTACTGGCCTTTCTTATTCCTAGTGCTTGCTGTTTCCATATAGTGAATCCATGTTAAATTAATAGATGATCCTAATAAACAGGAGAACGGTAGTCACAGCTACTCTCAGCTCTGAGTGCTGCATGAGATGCTTTGCGGAAGTGCTCATTCATGTTCATGTGCCCTCCATGAGATGCTTTGCGGAAGTGCTCATTCATGTTCAGGTGCCTTCCAGTTGGAAGCTATTTATTTCTTTTCAACAAAAAGAGAGAATGGTTGTAGGGTCAATGTATTTGAAATTAATAATGATGGTGTCCGCATTACATCTGCAGAGTGGCTGTATGTACAATACAAGCTGCTGTAACTGGAGACTGCTCATTTGTTTCCCGGCTGCCCCTACCTGAAAAATCACACAAAACTGTATTAATTACAACACTGTTCAGCCAATGACTCAGGCATATTTCTAACTAGCTCTTACATCTTGAGTTAACCCATTTCTAGTCATCTGTGTATTTCCATGAGACTATAGCTTAATGGAAAGGTTCTGGCTCCTTTCTCCTTTGTCAGCTACCTGGTGTTTCCTTGACTCCACCAACTCTCTCTATATATAAGTCTTTCAGTCTGGCTCTACTCTGCCCTGCCATAGGCCGAAGCGGCTTCTATATTATCCAGCGGTAACAAAACATAATCATAACATACAGAGGGGAATCCCACATCAAGCTGTAATGTCAGTGCATGGGAGCTTCTTGTGTCTGCTGCTGTAGCGCTGACACTCTGCAGACAAGGTAGTGAGGTGAAGTATAGGAAGGAATGTGGTTTTAGGTTGCTTGATGACTTTTATATTACTTTTTAAATAAGATATATCTTGGATTTCAATGTCAACAGGTCTCTCTGTCAAACTTCATGATGTTTAGGGTTTTAAGCTTCCTTCCTTTGTATGTGCATGCCTGAATAGTGTGTGTGTGTGTGTGTGTGTGTGTGTGTGTGTGTGTGTGTCCCCCTTTCCATAGACCCATTGTCCTCTTTATTATATGGGTAGTGACAAACATTGGGAAGGCCTTCAGTGGAAACGAAGGTGAGGATTTCTGGGGTCTTCGAGCTTTCTTTACCAGATGGTGTGCCTAGGACTGGGGACATCAGCTGGTAAGCTGATTTACAATGGAGCGAGGACACCATTCAGTTAGTTCCCGCATAGGGGATTAAGACGAAAGTAATTTGTAGGTGACACACCTGGCAGTTAACAAACTCCTCCACTTACAAAAGATCCCAGGAAGGGGCAAAATGTAGCCCAACGAAGAGCTGGCGTGAGACTGTTCCAGTGTGAATTCTGTTCAAGCCATTGTAGGTTCTAAAAGGACTGTCTCTGTGGACCTCAATTTCCTTTATACAGAGAGAATAAAGTACCCTGTTGTCCTGTTTTCATAGGGCTAGTCTAACAAATTAACACCAAATCGGTGGCTCTCCCTTTGAGAGTCATCTGGGAAGGCTGCGGAAGATGTGTCTGGGTCCTGACAGTTAAGGCTTGGGGGGTGGCCTGCAGAACTTTATTAGAGAGGCGAGCCACTGCTCATAGTTTGGGAAAAGGATATCCACATAGGGTAATGTGCACTAAGAAGATTTTCTTTTTAATTTGGGGGATGTGTGACTATTATCGCGTTAAAACAATAGCAATCAGAAAAGTCCCCCATGAAGAGAAGAGAACACGTATGAACAATAGTAAATGCTTGGCACTCCTTCTCCAATATGACTTTATTCTTCCTTTCTGATGGTAGGGAGAAATAGGTGATATCACCCCTCTATTCTTAGTGTAGTTGACACGTAAGCCACTTACTTATTTCACAACACTTGTGGCGAGGCCATGCTTTTACACGAGCCGGGCGTGTCAGTTATATGACATTTTAAAAGAACAGAAGTGACAAGAGTTGTCAACTCTCACCAGAGGATTTTAACACTCACTTGTAGCTGCTTTTTAGATGGTTCTGTGTTGGAATCTAGATTCTGGTAATAGCATCTACTGTAAAAAGCCAAGAACTCCAGGGATCTACCTGTTTCCAATGTCTCATCCCTCCATCCCAGCACCGAGGCTTACAGAAGCACTAAACTGCTCTTCTGTTGGAGTTTTACGTGGCTTCTCATGTCCTCATGCTTGCGGCAGGTACTTTACCAGGTGGGCCATCTCCCCTCTTCTGTTTTTAGGGTGCTAGCAATGGAATCCAAAGCCTCTTATAAGCTAAGCATGCGCTTGGCTGCAGTTACATTGAGTCTCAGTTATTCTGAGTCTTTGTGAGTGGTGTGTGTGTGTGTGTGTGTGTGTGTGTGTGTGTGTGTGTGTGTGTGGTGTGCCTGCGCATGCATGCGCGAGCACCGTAGCTTCCTAGAGAAGAAATGGCCTGGAGTCAAGGGGCATGTTTGAGGATGTAGGACTCAGTCATCCCAGCTTAGGTGTTGACAAGTTTGAACTTCCTTCCACCTGGCCCCGGGTGGTCTGGGCACTTGGATGCTGGCAGAGCTCTTAGCAGCCTGCCAGGTGGAAAGGGAAGCTATGCCACAACTGGAAAGTTTGAAAGATCCTCATTGCCTCACCCCTCATGCAATGACTTCATGAACTTGTTGCTAACTTTTACACAGATGGAAGGTACTGAGGGCTTTCCCCTTAGTAGGGGAAAGGTTAAGCTGCTTCTTGGGCAAAGCACAGAAGGAAGGGTGGGTAGGAACCCTTGTGAGTCTGCAACCCCAGTTTCTTCCCTCTTTTCACTTCTTCTTTTCCTTCCTCCCATCTTGTTTTCCTCCGTTCTTCCGTTCCTCTTTGCCTTCAAATTTGTGCTCCTGACATATGTTGGGAAACTTTGAATACCAAAGCGCTGTTTGCATCTAAACACATGATGTGACCATTATGGGGCTCATTCTAACAGAAAACAGTGCTAAGGAGCACAAGCAAAGCTTCATTCATCGTCACAGATTAAGACTTTCGTTAGGTTTTCCCCCCAAAAAGCTAAAGTAGTAAGGAATGAGCCTGGGATATAAAAAAAGGTCTGACAGACTCTATTTTTTAAAAAAGAATGCTATTACCAAGGAAACTAAGGCAGGAGCACTCTGGATGCTCAGGAAATCCTGCTCAGCCTGAGGAAGATAGTGCCATCCTGTGTCTCAACAATTTTGAGATGTTGGAAGCTTTATTAAATTAAGCAAAGTGGAAACGTCTGGTTGAAAACCAAGAGAAGAATCATGTGAGCTTCCAAATTAAAAACAAAAAGCAAACAAAAAACCCTACCACTCTTTAGTCATCAATTATAAAAACCATACAAAGTGTGTATTGTGAATAGCTTTCAATTTCTACCCCCGCCCTCCAGAGCAGAACTAGACCTCTCTGGGGCTTGTGTGCATCATTAGCTCAATCCTGTTGTTTGTGTGTCTCTGCGAACTGAAGAAGTCTGACGTCATCAGCTAGTGAAAGCTGATGTGAATTCATGCATCAATACCCGCCTGAAGTGAAGAGGAAGCCAGGATGTGCATGAGGATGTGAGGATGTAGGTCACAGTGACTGCCTTGGTGAACGAGAGCATATTCCTGTGCCACCAAACACACGACAAGGTTGCATGGAGGGAACAAACCTACCTAGGGATATAAAGGACAAAATGTATGTGTTTTCCCGCAGTAGAGATGGCTCCTTTGTGTAATCACACTCAGGGGCCTCTGTGTGGGTGCAAAGAGGCTTCCTGTGAAGATCTACTGCGTAGATGTGCAATTTTTAAAGTAGCTTTAGAAGATATTTATATGAAAACAAAGCAATTACAAGGAGCAGGCATGCAAACTGTTGAATCTTTAGCAATCTATTTGCCAAGGCCAGCTTGTTACAGTACAGGGTGGGAGGGCAGAGTTAGAGGAAGTGTGGGTGGCTTCCCGAAGGAAATAAGAACTCACATTTCAATAGCGAGAACATCTCAAGTTTTCTCCTTTATTTCTGATTTTCTAACTGGTCCAGCTCCAGGGGTCTCAAGGACCTTCCACAAGACACCTTGCTCAAAGGATCTGAAAGTTCACAAAAGTTAGAAATAGAAAATAATAGTGTTCACTTCTTCTTCCTCAAAGTGTCCCTGTCACTGCTTGAGTGCTTGTTGGTTGGGTCTCACACATCAGTCTTCCTATGAACGTGCAACCCTCTCGTTCTCTGGGGGTCTTCCTCTTCTCCAACATGTTCAGCAACCTGCTCCGCCCCAACCCTGTCTGGGGTCTTCAAGCTTCCCAGGGTTCCATGGCCTGACCTTGAGGATGGAAGGAGTCAGAATCGGAAGGCAGATGATAATTTGCATACATGGCGAGCCGATGCAAAGGAATCACCTTTTTTATTTTATTTATGAGCATTTTATTTATTGAGCTCTGCTTGTTTTAGGCCCATCTAAACGAACTGGAAAAAGACTAAGTCCATTTATTTTTATGTAACTTGTAAGCTGAGAACTGACTTATACATTTTAAGATGATTATAAACAGTAAAAACTAGTATGTCAAAGCGCATGGGAAATACATGGTATTTAATTCTTGGTGTTTACATGTAAGGTTTTTTTTTTGTAGTGTAGCTGTCTTTCTTTGTTCATTTGTTCTTTATGTATTGCTAGAAGTTGCTTTGACTATGCAATGGCTGCTGTATTTACTCTTGGTCCTTTGCATAAAATACCCTAATCCTTTATTTAAGGCAATTTTAAATTTGCATATTGGTGAGCCAATGTTTTATTGGATAGCCGGATTTTCTTGGGCAGAAATTGCATATAAATAAAATTCTTGTTTCCTTAGTGGTTAACAAATCCAATGATATGTATAGCAGCTACACAGAAGTATTTATTGGAAAGATAGTAAGCTAGCGTACATACAAATTTTCTTCTGACTTGATTTTAAAAGCTTTTTAAATTTTTTTATGTGTATGTATATATGTGTGTCATGTGTGTGTATGTGTGTCGTGTGTGTATGTGTGTCGTGTGTGTGTCAGGCAAGCACATGTGTACTGCCACCCAAAGGGGGCATTGGATCAGTTGGAGCTGGAATTTCAGGTGGTTGTAAGTCACCGGAAATGAGTCCTGAAATTGGAACCTTGGTCCTCTGGAAAAGCAGCAAGCACTCTTATCCCTCCAGCCATCCCTCCAGCCCCACATACAGCTTTTATAAGTCCATGCTGCATGACCTGGACTTCAGAAAGTGTCCCTCTGACAGGCCAGTGCTATGTCCTGTCGCCTCAGACTTTCTTTCCTCTGGGTGCACACCATGGAACATGCACAACTGAGGAACCCACTTTTTAATTGATCATAGAAGGTGGAGTCTCTCAAGTTTTTTGTGGTTAGGGATTTGGTGTTTTAAATTATATACTCTTCTCAGAGGCCGTGAGTTGGCCCTCAATGAATGCAGATTATTTCCCAGATTTGGGGAATAACAACAGCAAAAACTCAGCAACATTCTTTTGTTGCTTAGGAATTCAGAGACAACTTTTCTAGGTTATACTTCTGTCCACGTGGCATCCCTAGGAGTTCCCTGGTGGTATTTGCCTGGTGTCCTGGTTACTTTGATGAGTTGCATCTTGGTTGCTTGGTGGGGGTTTCTATTAGGCTGGGTTTGGAACTGGTCCTCTCGTTCCGCATCATCTCATAGCCTCTCCAAATGGTCTCGGCAGCACAAGGGGGATGTCTAATGTGGCATCCAGTGCTCTCAAAAACAAGGTGAAACTGCTCTTTCTCTTAGATGGAAGACATTGTAAGCAGAATGTTGCTTCTGCGGCACAGTTCATCATAGTGCTTGTAAGGACGGGGAAATAGACCCCACAACAGAGGAATATTTAAAAAGCTGATGGCTGTATAGACACGGCCTGCTTGAGTACACACAGTCCAAGATAATCTAAACTCATGGCTGCCATCTTCTACTCACGGATGGAGAGCTGTTCACTTTTTGCCAGAAGGAAATAAAAATTAGCTTGCTAAAGGTACATCTGTTTAAGGTAACCTATTGACAATGCCAGATACTAAAGTGATGTGAGCATCCCAAAGGGTTTCCTCCAAGAGAAATATATTTAGAAGAATTTCTTGGCTTATCACTGTTATCTTAGGTGTACATGGTGTTAAACTGCCCTACAAATGCTTAGGTGTATACCCATAGATTAGGGCTGCTCTAAGCCTTCAGTAGAAAAGTGTCTTTTTGCAGCAGGTCATGGCTGATTTGGAGACCCACAACTGCTCAAAATGCAGAGAGTGAGTAATCAGAACATTCTTGGTCCTAAGCTGGACATCTATATTACCCACAAGGGAAGACATAGTTAAGTGGTTGGGGAGGAGGACTAAGAAAATTCCTTATGGGATCATAGGAGACTTGGCGGGCAAGAGCCTTTGTTGCTCAGTGTGAGGACCTAAATCTGATTCCTAAAATCCACATGGGAGGTAGGAGAGAACCGCTTTCTACAAGGTGTTTTCTGACCTCTACATTCAGTGAATGTGAGCACTCATGTGTTCACATGGGTACATACACCTAACCAATAACACCTACACACACAATAAATAAAGGTAAAATAAATAAATAAATAAATAAATAAATAAATAAATAAATAAATAATATCGTCCGGACATGACACAAGCCATTGCAGCCAGGAACTCACTGCAGCCCTGATAGCCTCTGTAAGACGTGCCCTCCCTGACAGATTACAGCCAGGCAAAGGATTCTAGAGGAGAGAGTTTATTTTCCTTAATGGTGTAGCCACTGGAAAGTTGCCTATGCTGCAGTTAATAATCCTCTCCCAGAGGGAAAAAGAGAAATGCCATCAAGTAGGAAGGGCCTTGTTGGGAGGAAGAAAGGTTTTAGTGGGGCAAAGCAAGAGATCAGAGAGTAAGAGGGTGTGAAACTGCCCCTGGTTCAGTTCTCTTTAGGTGTCGGCCAAGGCTGCAGCTTCCTTCCCGTGACCCAAGTTGCCCATCTGTTTCTCTTCCCACAGCGGGTGGCTGGGGGTCTGTGCACATTTCCTCCGGTGGTCAGAGCTGTTAGTAGCAGAGGTGAGGCCGCTGTGGCTAGCACCAGCAGTTAAACGCCCAGCCACTGCCCTAGGGAGGCCCTTGTGCTTTCTTGTTCTTAAAACAGTTGCATTAGGGTTGTGGGACTAGCTTGTAAAATTTTTGTGGGCAATCAGAAACCCTTGAAGTTTTCACACAGAGAAAGCAAAAAGCGAAAAAAAAAAAAAAAAAAAAAAGGTCTGCTCTGTGATAAAACCAGGGCTGGATATTTTTGGCCTTTTCTTTCTAGTGCAAAGAAGCCCAGAGAAGATTCTTCATGTTGAAACAGTTACTCAAAACAGAGACCAGTGTGGGAGAACGGTCTGTGGCTCCTGCCTTTGCTGCTAGCGGTGATGTATGTCTGTGTTTTGGGAACTTTGAATATCTAGTTGAGTCTGTACTTTTTGTGGCTTGTCTGGGCTCAAATGCACCACCTCGCGAAGAGCTATTTGATTGGCTAAGGATGGACTCTGTTCCTTCTTTCTGAGACACTATAAACGGAGATAGCACAGGCCTTTGAAAATGCTTTATAATATCGTGGAGAGCGAAACCATTAATAACGTCTTCGGAGATCTGAAAAACATCCATGGTGAGACCTTGCTAGAGGGAGCTTTGGTGTTCGCTGTGAAATGGTTTTCATCGAAGCATTTTCCCCTGACAACAGAGCTGATTATTGTATGGTCCCTTTTGGACACGTGTTTTTTCCTGGTAGTCAAGTTCCCTTTTCCTTTAAAACAGAAAAAGCAAAACAGAATCTAGCTCCGTGATTGGTAGATTCCCTCCACTAATTCACCGTCCTTCAGTTAGGAGATTCTGGAAATCCCCGTTGGTGTCACTTTTTCTTTTGACCGAATATGTCTCTAGTTGTCTGGCTACAGAATTTCTTTCCTAAGAGCGGTCTGGCTCTTTCTGGCTTCAGCACACGCCGAAGTTCATAGTTTGACCTACTAGCACAGGCCAAAATTCATAAAGAACTTTGGAGTGGGACAGTGGTCACAGGTGGCCCCAAAGAAGATTACTTAACGCCTGCTTAATAGGGGAAGAAGCCTGTGGTGAGCTCCGATTTCTTCTCTGGCATGTGGGTGGCGTGGGATGAATCAGAAGCATGCTAGCTTTACCAAGGAGCTCTCTCTAATGCTTTCCTGGTTCCTTCGGGGTTATTAACAGGGTGACCTTGAGATATCAGTCCCCTTCAACAGGCAACTATTGCTCGGAATCCCTTTGAAGTGCTGTGTAAAGTGATAATACCGCCCTTCACTGCTTTTGGCTTCTTCCCATGGCATCTATTTCCTGCTGTTAACCTTGGTACTAAAGTCGGGCCCAGTCCTTCTGAAGAACAAGGCAGTCTGATGGTGACTAAGAAATCCTGATAAAGCCTGTATGCCATACTGTACAGGGCTATAGTCTAGCCAGGGACTTCTGGAAATGTAGGCGTAAGGGTTAAAGGTTAATTTTCTTTTCCTGTATACTTACCTGTTCTAAGTATATATGACATGTTCTGAACCATATTTTAGGTAAGCCAACTTGTTCTGGGTTTTAACTTGTAGTTCTTTGGGATGATAGCAAAATACCTTCCTTCCTTTCTTAATGCCCCTCCTTTTTTCCCCATCTAAATGCTTTACCTTAATCTGACAATCAGCCCCATATGACAGTTCATGATTCACATAGACACATAGACATAGAGACACATAGACTTTCTTATGTCTAGACTTCTGGGTCCTTTCTGTGGCCAACGATAAATCCCAGCATGTTGGCCTTAGGAACTTGAGGACCCAATTAGTCTTGATGACACAGATTTGTAATCTCACTTGGGGTGGTGAATCAGAAGAAATTTAGTGAGATTCTGTGTCAACATTTGAAAAATCAAGAGAGAGCTGGGAATATAGCTCTGTTATCAGCCACTCATTTTGAAGTGTATTCTACAAAGAATAATGACTGCTTTGTTCTCAGAAGGATTGTACCAAACCCTCCCAGTTCTATCCAAGAAGGAAACCAGATTTCTTTGATTTACAACATCTTATGAACAACCTTTGTGCATGTTTTTTTGAGTTGTCACCGTTGTACCTTCTGTATTTGCTTTTTCTCTAATACCTAAAGCTATGCAAATCAATGACCTCTGTGACATTTCTTCGATTTCCCTCTTTCTAGTTGGTGGCTTCTGACCAGAGAAAATAATACCAATATTAGTTTTTTTTTACATCAATATATTCCCTGTTTCATCTAGATTTTGTAGTTTTGTGTACTTAAGTTTTTGTTGGATATTTTAAATGGTAAACTCTAAACCTCTTTGCTTCCAGTTGAAAAATATCTCTAGGAACACTGAGTAAGTGGTCCCAAATGTCCATGTAAAAACAGTTCTCTTAGGTACCACCCGGTCCTGGTCTTCTGAAACACTGAGGTTTTGATACGAACCTTCTCTTGGGGGCAGTAGAATGCGTGGATTATAAGCCCAAGTTAAGATTTTTATTTTCCAGATTTTGTGCACATTGAGGAGTGTGAATTTCTGCCTGTGTACTGGTATATGGAGAGAAAATCTAAACCCAGTCCTTTGTCTTCCTTTCTAGAGTTGGGTATTAGTATTTTTTTTTGTCAAGTTAGGAATTCTTCTCTTCAAATAAATTCTCCTTTGCCTATATGATTTCCAGCAGGTCTAGGAAGTTCACAGATGTTTTAATTAGGAAGAAACAGAAAATCATTGCTTATTTTCAAATACCTTGAGGATTTTTTAAATAAAGGCTTTTAACTAGACTTTTCTTCCACCAAAAATGTTCTATTTTCCATTTTTAAACATTTCCTATATTGTACACCATAAAGGCCTCTACATGTCTCTTTAAGAAGAAACATAAGGTCAAAGCGGAACCTCGAGGATCATTGCCAAAGCAGGGACAAGGTAAAAACATGAGCTGCTTTCTCTGATCTATCACTCACCGACCTGTGAAAATGTTTTCCAGTGTCTGGCCCTTCCTTGAGCCTCAAGCTTGCGACAGAAGTTGCCTTCAGTCTTCAGCAGCTGCTGAAATGATACCGAATTTTATCTCAGGCTCCAGTCCTTTGGCATCTGTAAGTGAGCCCATTAAATAAAGAATTTTATGCCAGGAAAACCAGGCTAATATCAGTTCTTAAAATATAAATTCTTTTCATCGTATTTTTTTAGCTAAATTGATCTTACCAACAAAACTAAAACTAAGAATCAACCCTACCTTATTAAAGAAAGTCACACTTGTGAAATCTGGTCTTTTTTTTTTTTTGGCTATTATCATTTACCATTCTCTTAAGTTTAACTATTTCATTCTCGAGACTAAGACCCCTAAGGCTATAAATGTGTAATCACACACATTATAAATGCATAACACATATCTATAGTTTCCATACCATAGGTTGAAAAGGCACATGAACTTATCATCATCCTCATTAAAGACTGTTGATTATCTACTGTGCATATTATGATAAGCAATCAGATATGGTGGGGAAGACAAGAATTATATAAATGTAAGTGTTCAACAGACTTCAATTTGGCTTGTGTAGTTAAACAGTTCAAACAGAAAGAGGAAAATAGCTATTCAGGGAAGGCCCCCAGGGCATCAAGTACCAGGAGGAGACTTGTCATGCTTTTGGTATTCACAGCACACCTTTGGGGGGGATGCAGTGATGGCATCTCAGGAAAAAGCTAATCAGAGCTTCTCTGCCATAGAGTGATTTAAGGGTACAGTAATAGCGATAGAAAAAAGTGCTGAGGTATGGGGGGGGGTCAAACCAGGTGGTAGATGGGAGATGAATGCCAAGGTGTCCTCCTCTTTCCAGAGAAGCAAGAGAGAGAAAGAGGAAATGGAAAATGCAAATGCAGAAAAAATACCCAAAGAATCTCCATAGGAGTTTGCCCTTAGTTATGATTTTGGTAACTCATCTACTGCTTTGAGCATCAGGTTTTTACAATTCATAAAATGGTTGTTTTACTCTTTAAAATAGGGACAACGAGGATGAAATTTTAGAAGAAAAAGATGAATCAATTCATTTTTGAGGCATAAACTTTATGGCGTGCTTTCCCACTCCGAAATAAAACTATCAACATGCCATTATTTCCTGATGCTGTCGGTTCGAATCCTAATGAGAAGGAAGCCTGAGCGAAAGTTGTAATGTGATAAGACCCAGTGAAGTGGAACACACAGAACAAGGTAAGAGGAACCACGGCAGGTCTTGGGTGCTTAGGGAAATGCATGAAGGCTTTATCAATGAAGCAAGAGAGCCTGAAGTTTAAATTTATGGTTAGATAACTTCCAAATGTCCTTATGGTTTAGTGAGCCTCTCAGACTGCTACTTATGAGCTACATAATGTCATGCATTTGAAGTCGTACAAGGATTTGAATGTGGTACGTATCAGTGATAATGCCCCTTGAAAGCTCTGTTAAATAGCCTTGATTTCCTTCTGGTAAAATTATAATACAACGATGTAGTCTTGAAGGAAACATACAGCAGTGGTTACTGCAGTAGTACAAGGATGTCGGGGACACTCACATCAGATGGCAGTCTTTAGAGATGGAGGAGTCATTTGAAAACACACCGGGGAGGAAGTGTGGGAGGAAAGGAATCTGACCAGAGACGCAGATGAGGTGTCCCTGCAAGTCAGTTCTGTGAGAACCTAAAAACTGTACCGTGTGTGCACTCAAGTTCTGTCCTCTCATTGTAGGGAAGTGCGCCTGGGATTCTGACCCTGGGAATATCATGACCACATCTTCGCTTCACCTTTAGGACATGTGAAAGGATTTACCCCGCTCCACATACTTACTCTCAGGCACACATATTTTGAAACTGGCCCCATTTTTATTCTACTGTAAATGTCAGTCACCCAGTCTAGTGTAATATGAGGGGCCAGCTTGTTGGGGTTTCTGTCCAGTCTGGTACCCCACAGCTGGCAACTCACAAGGAAAATCACACACAGGACTCCATAATATTATAAACTGATTGGCCCATTAGCTCAGGTTTCTTGTTAACTCTTATAGCTTATATTAACCCATTATTCTGATCTATTTTAGCCATATGACTTGTTGGTACCTTTTCCAGCTGTCAGCTCACATGTTGCTTCTTCGGTGATCTGGGCAGGAATGGCAGAGGGAGCTTCCTGCTTCCCAGAATAGTCCTGTTCTCGTCGCCCCGCCTCTACTTCCTGTCTGGTTGATCCACCTATACTTCCTGCCTGGCCAATCAGCGTTTTATTAAAATACATGATTGACAGAATACAGATAATTCTCCTGCACCAGTCTAGGAGTATGACTTTCCCTAAAACTGCCTTTAAAAACTCGAAGATTTGGAATCGCAAGAATGGATGCAAATAGGAAACAAGGCTATGTTCCCGAATGAATAGGAAATGCTAGTGAAAGCATCATTGACGTAGAATTGTGTGCTAATTCAACTGGGGGAAGCAGTCCTGTTCTAGGTTGGGTTGATGCTCTATCCCTTCCCTTTGGGTGACATTAGAGCCCGATTTTAGGAAGTTCCTTGTTATGCTAATAACTTCCTCGGTTTTTCTTCTAGAAGGTTAACCATAGATACCAGAGTACGACCTATTCTTGCCAAGATAAGATAGGAAATGAAATACAATGCCCCAGAGTGATCCTGTTCAGAAAAATGTTAGTGAATAAATATCCTATTTCCTTGTCTTTTGTTGGGAAAACTCAAATTGCATTGTGTATGGCCTCTCTGGTGGTCTTTAGAAAATATTGAGTTGCAGTTGTTTGCAGAGTAGGGTGGTCAACTTTCCTCATATCTTTGGAGCTCTCTCAGTTGTAGCATTAAAATTCTATATTTTGGGAACTTGAGGTTCACTCAAGCCTGGAAGGCAACCACTCTTTAAGCAGAGGTAGCTGGCAACTCAAGGCGCTCCTTCTTGATGTTCTTTCCTCCGAGCGAGCTCATGTCCCTGCCTTGTTTACAGTGATTCCTGGAGTTACCTTCTGAACAAACTGTTGCATTCTCGCTTTTTTTTAAGAACCTGTTTTAAAAAGGATGTAAGAGAAGCCGGTCACGGTGTCTGCTTGTGAGGAACAGGAAAACGTGCAGCCTCATGCTTTGCATAGCAGCAACCCAAGATTGCCCAGATCTTTGCATGCTAGGTGAAGAGGCTGCAAGGGAGGGTAGCAGAGCTGAGAATCCCTCTTCTAGGCCTCTCTCCCGCAGGCATGCTCACTGCAACACAGAGACGTAAAGCGAGGATTTCCTGTGGGATCCTTTATAAGAAATCCTGGAGCTATCTCTGCCTGTCGCTGCCAGAAATTTCTGTAAGTAGGGAAGAACTTTAGTCATTTACAGTATAAGCATTCTATGAAGCAGCATGAAGTTTCTCTAAAAGCATGAGACTAATCTACACTTGCTGACAGAGGAAAATGTTACAAGGTAGCAGAAAGGGAAACACAGATTAAAAGTCATGCTTATGATGTTCTGTATCTATTTGTTTCCTCTTCCTGGAACATATGTATAACTTAAACACAAAAACTCTTAGTATTTAGGAAGAGAGGGAGCATAAAAGGTTACCAAGGGAATTACCTCTTTATTTATTTATTTATTATTATTATTATTATTATTATTATTATTATTATATACTTAAAATTATCTTTAAAGTAACAATATAATTGGAAATGAATATCTGATACATTTTTCACCCTTTTCAATTTTTCTTAAGTTCTCCTCTCAGTATTGGCAGCATGGAAACTATTGTGGTTTTAGCTTCATATTCTGTCTCAACTCCCATGCACCCATATAAAAGTATGTTGTGACCAAATATAAGCCACTAAGTTATATAAAACATAATTAACCAGAGATTTTATATGGGTACCAGTCTTTAAAAATGCGTGATCACCTTTTCCTTTAAGATGAGAAAGACCACACGGACAGAAAATATATTTCAAATATTCATCAGTTTTTCTAAAACCACAATTACAAGGGCAAACAGGAAATTAAAACAAGCTCTCCATGTGTACCCGAACCCCGTGTATTTTAAAATAGTATTTGTTCAGGAAATTAAATGATGTTGAATGAAAATGATAATTTCTCAAGTGTTTGGGAAAGGGCATGGCATTGGATTAGAAGACAATGAAAGAGATGCTGCTAGCAAGAGGATTGAATAGATTTTCAAACAATGCAGAATAGAAACCCCTACTAAGCAGGAAGCGCCGAGCCATTATTGCTTATGCCATTTGTTTTCTGCTTTGTTTTGTCTTCTCCAAAGCAGTCTAAGGCTGTGAGTGGGCTGGGGAGACTTTCTACCCTTTCATTGTTGTGATTGCAGCAACACAGTGAGAAACATGTGCTTGGAAAGAAACCTGTGTCCTTCTTAGCTGCATGCTAATGAGCAAAGTGCACCAAGCTTTGCTCCCTGAAGACTAAACATGGCTCTGTCAGCTACAGTCTGCTCTGAGGAAATGTTCCTTTGTGTAATATGGACCTCAGATTGGTTTTCTTCCAGGTGTTTTTTTTTTAAATAGTAGTTTCCAGCATCTCTAGGACTAAAAAGGGAAAGTCAGAAAGAAGAAACAAGAAGGAGCTCCAGAGCATCAAATGCTCCTTTAGCCTTGTGCCCAGGAGGGACTGAAGAGAAGGGCTTTTTAAAAAGCATTGTTTTGTAATGCTATCCAGTGCTTGTCAAGAAGGACCCAGAATGGGATGTTTTAAATTATATATTCTAAACATCTGTAACTTACACTATAATAATTTTTCTAGTGTCTTTACCCGATCTTGGTACAGGGTCTCAAGATTATGTCTCAGTTATAGTCTGAATAGATTAAGTGTTTTACTAAAAAGTAAAAGACATCGAGAGGTCAAGAATGATATCTCTACTTTTTATTATTGCCTTGTTTTTATTTGGAAAAAACCTCTGGAGATTTTTGAAAAATAATTATATCTAGCATTATAGTTTAATGATCTAATTTTATACACTAATTATAATATCTCCTGTGTGGATTCATGAATGGCTTATTGCCAGGTGCTGCTGGCCTTTGTAGAGAAAACCCAATTAACCACGACCAGTGAGGTCCATTGTTCAGGAAGCCTTCACGTGATTCTCAGGGTTATTTTTCTCATTTGTTGCCCCCCTTTGCCCCATCCTGGCAGCACTGAGTCAGTCCTAGTGCTACACATTCTTCCGGTTCCCTGTTAGATGGTGTTGGAGATAAGATTTCCATTATGGGGGCTTTGATAGAGACAAATAATGCAGAGCTGGAAAGGTGAATGATTGAGAGCTGAAGATGGTGGAGGCCTAATTCTTGTCGGTGGGAATGTTGGTAGTGTAGGAGACAGAAGGTGCGGGGAGAATTCCGGAAGACCATTTGGCAAATGTGACTGAACAGTAAGCCAATTTCAATACCTGCATACATTTAAGAAGGAATTAAAAAGAATGACAGTGAACTTGGTAAAGGCTGTTACTGACGTCAAAATGGAGGCTAGCAATGCTAACTCTGCTATGACCATACTCAGCAAGGCTGGGAATGACTCTATTAAAGAGTTTGGGCTCTCAGCAGTTGCTATAGAGAGAGCATCTTATTTTTTTCGTAGCCAAATAAGGTCAGCTCCCCTGCTCTTCATCTTCTAAAGCAAAACAGGTAGTAATATTTATTTGTTTGTTTCTTGAGGCTGAAGTGATCTGGAACTTATTATTATTCCATATTATTTGGCATTTTGTTATATATTTTCTAATCTGTTTCATCTTTTTGTGCTACCCTTGTTGGGCATTTTCTTTTGTGTAAGAAATGGGCTAAAAATGCCTACATCTTATTTCTACCCCATCCGCTCATCTGTGTAGCAGAGACTTGCCTGTGATGATGTAAGTGATGTGCCAGTGTTCATTAGACTCCATGTCAGACTCTGTACATTAGACTCCCACCGATTCATTCCTCCTACCTACTTACCACGGGTGCTAGCCTGGCTCTCGCCTTCCCTTGGTCATCTATGTTTTGCTTAGTTAGAATGAAACTATTGCTTATATTTCTGTCTCAAGCCCTGAAACTTAGATTTAGTCTTTTAGATAAGGTTTACATATCCTGTATATTTGTTCTTTGGAATTACCCCCGTATCATTACACATTTAGCCTTAGCCCAACATTGACGGAGTGTTAATGTGCATGAGTGCTTTTGTTTTCATTTCTATATCTGCCTATTGTTTGCAAAACAAAGTTTGCGGAGGCCTTCTTTTCTAAGTTGCAAGCTGGGTAAAACATAAAAACGCCACTCTTCTTTGAATTCCTGAGGTTTCCAAGTCTACTTGGCAGACACTCAATAAATATTTGTTGAATAAATGAATGAACTTAAGATGGGTTAAGAGGTTAGATTCTTTAGGTAAAGAAATTCGGGATCACCTTCCAATCAGCACCTTCCTGTTGCTTTGAGTTTAGCTCTGCTATGGAGGTCTACCCCTGCGTTCCATTCCTTTTATTGTTTTATGACGTTGATATGCATGGGCTTGTACTGTGTGTAACAGAGCCTGAGTGGTTTGGCAAATAGGAGGGATTTTAATTTGCTTTGAGTGATTCAAAACACGTTTCCATAACAACTGTTTTGTTTGCTTCCTTGCTTTATTTTTAGTAATTTTTTTTTGAGGCTTAATCACAGACCAGACTGTTACATCTTGCATTCTTGACTATTTATTCGGCCCATCTTTCAGAGCCTGTCATCTGGTCGTTGGCTGTTGCAGGTAGAAGGGCCAAGTTTATAATTACCTGCAGGTGAGCATTTGGGCCAATTTTCAGACTGTATCCATGGGCTGTTACTAATGATACTAAAATTCCTTGGATTTTACTACTTCTGATACCCTTGAGCAATATTTAAGGTAAAGCTCAACCAAAATAGTGGAATGAGTTTGTCGAGCAATATCAATCCAAATGTGCAACGGAGAGTGACCGTAGAAGAGATTCAAAATGAGGAAAGCTGAGAAAGTCGGCCTCATTGACCTAGCAGATTTGGTGTCCCATGTGTAGAATCTTATATATTGTATATGAAGGAATTTAATGTCCTGTCAGTGTAGAAGCAGGGCTTGTTTAAGGTTTACTCTCGGGCAAACCACTACTTGTGTGTTATAAATATGCTGCACGTGTTCTATTAGTAGCTACTAAGATAGAGGGGAATCCAGGACATCTTAGATCTGACCTCAGTTATCTTCTACGTTGTGCTAACTCTGCCAGGGTGAAAAGTTTGGGACTTTTTACAACAACCGCTTTCATGCCAGATGGCGTGGAAGGAATGCTGGGAATCTGGAAACCCAGATTTTGGGTTTTCCTCTCTGCTAACAAGCTATGTGACTTTCTGAAAATATCTTAACCTGAGACCTTTATTTCCTTACCTGTTAAGACAAAGACCCAACCTCCTGCCCTCATGATACTTCCAACACAAGCACGCGATGAGTTAAATGTGTTTTTTATATTCCCGAGCTTGGAAAGAGATTATCTGCTTGAGCAGTGAAAAATCTATCAACTCTGTGTAGCAAAGGTGAACCTGCAGCCGGTGATTGACTTTAACCTGTAGCTGGTGATCAGCTTTAACTTGCATAATGATCGACTTTAACCCACAGCTAGTGATCGGCTTTAACAGACAACTCGTGATTGGTGTTAACCCACAGTTAACGATGGGCTTTAACCTGCAGCCAGCGATTGGCTTTGACACAACCAGAAAATCATGGACAACGGCTGTTAGAAGCATAAGAAGCAGTGTTTCCGATGGTGATGTAAGTCTGTGGAAACGGAATGAATAGCAATAAAGGGGCAGCTGATGAGCGGTGTTCAGGTTTTATTTAATTTTCCTGCGGTGCTGTGAGACTGATCTCACCTGTGAGAAAACAGCAGCCAGCCTGTCAGACTCCACCGCTCCTACCTGAGGAGCTCACTCTCCCTTCAGCTAGCTAGTGCTTGTTGTGCACGCACCAGGTTGCAGGAATTGCTCTAGACCAGATTCTTAGTTTAGCGCAGAGAATGAAACCTAGGCCTCCTTCCTCACGGAGCTTGCATGCAAGCTCATGCATGCAAGAGATAGAATTGGTAGACAGATGGAACAAATAGGTTTTGTGGTATTTTAGCAGGGGGTAAATGTTATGGGAAGACTAAAAGAAAAGCTGGATGTTAGAATTGGAGAAATATGGGAACTGAAAGGTGAGTGTGTCACTTCCAGCTGAGGAACTGACGAGGGTACCATGGGAATTCTCCATTTTGATAAAGGATTTGAGGAGATGAGGGGATTGGTTACACAGACATTTGGGGGAAGAACATTCATGACAGAGAGATGAGCAGTCATGAAGAGTATGCCGGTGTTTTTGCAATTCAGTTATTTACACAGAGAAAAAGTCAATATAAAGGGGGTACATTCAGATGCTAGCATCCTTCTGCATGGTTCCTTGAGCTTTTGGAAGCAGGCTGATGTATTTTCTTCGTCCTCAGTACATTCCATCCTGCTTTCCTAGCGAGACTGATGGGAGTGACTTTCTTTGACATCTTCCTTCTGATTTGCTCTGATGTTAAGCTCCCAAACTTGCCGATATTTTGACAGCTTCTTGCTCTGAGTAAAAAATCCAGGTTTCCTGATTCCTAGGCTTCAGTCTACAGGTTAGCAACCAGACAAGGGGAGGAAAGTTTTTCCCTCTCTCTCCGCTATGCTCCGCATAGAGCTACAAACAAAGGGATGGGTCAACTTTGTACAGCCAAATCCCAGGGGAAGAGTTGGGGTTGAGATCTGAGTTTGTGAGCTTTGGGTTGGGGCCTAGGATTGTGCATTTCCTACAAGTTTCCAGGTGACATGCTGCTGTTGGTTCTTGTTGAGTGAGTCTTTAGGATGCATTTGTGTACTGGGAACATGATTTGAGCCTGTATCTCTATTTTGTGTGAGAGGTATTTGTGTGTGTGTGTGTGTGTATTCCTGCACACTTATGTGTGCAGGAATGAGCATACTGTGGGGGCCAGAGAACAGCCCACCTTTTATTTTGAGACTGGTTCTTTTGCTGGCCTAGAACCCATCACATAGGACAGGATGGCTGGCTCGTGAGCACTGGGGATCTTATTTATCCCTCTAGTAGCGAGATGACAAACATAGCACCACACATAGGTTATTTTATGTGGTGTCTAGTATCAAACTAGTCTGCAAGCTAACACGGCAAGCACTTACTGCCCGAGTTATGGCTCCCTTTCCCCCCCAGCAGTGACTCTATAGTTCTAGTTCATGCTTCTCTCTACCCAACAAATCCAAGCTTACTTTTCTACACATCTTCAGAAGGCCAGGGGAAAATTAGCTCATCAAATTAAAAAAAGAGACAACCTTATCCTTCAAGAAGACCCTGGGACTTTCTGCCACACCTTCAATTTAGCATCTTTGCCTAACATACTGCTTAAAGCCTCCAATTGCTTCCCAATGATCAGAACCATAATTCAAACTATTTTTTAAAAAAGATTATTGTTTTTTATATGTATGAGTATTCTGTGTGCATGTCTGTAAGTACACTGCATGCATGCCTGGCACCCACTGAGGCTAGGAGAGGTTTTCGACTTCCTGAAACTAGAGTGACAGACAGCTGTCAACTACTGTAGGTCCTGGGGACTGAATCTAAGTCCTCTGCTGAAGAGCAAGTAATCTTGACCATTGATCATTCTCTCCAGTCATGGAATTCAGAGTTCAGGGCTAGTCCATAAGACACTTAGTAGTTTACCTCCCACCCTTCATTTTAATTATTGTCCCTCACCAACCCTCTTGTAGCCATAGTGACAACATTTCTGTTTCTAAAAGATGGGGATTGCTTGTGAAATAAGCCTTCTGACCATTTTTTTCTCAGACCACAGCAGGGATATGAACTCCAAAAATTAATTTTGAAATGAAAGTAATAAAGCTTCGAAAATTAAATAACTTTAGGTTTAAGAAAGATTCAAATAGCAAATATTTATTCTGTATCTACTATTGATCAGGCATTATTTTCCGACATTTGAGAAATGTCAGTGAACAAAGCAAAAAATGGACAGCGTAAGTTCGATGACATTGTTAAACTAAGGAATCAGCTATGGATAGGACAAGCAATCAAACAGAGCCGTAGGACAAGGACTAGAGGACTAAGAAAAGTGGGGAACCATATAAGAAAGAAGGTGACTTTTGAGCAAAGACCAGGAGACAGGAGGATGTTATCCATTCAGATAATTCAGGAAGAGTCTCAGTGCAAATGTCCCAAGGCTGCTGTTCAGGTCAATGTGACTACAGCCAGCAATGTAAGTAGGAGTGTGTATGTGTGTGTGTGTGTGTGTGTGTGTGTGTGTGTGTGTGTGTGTGTGTG